GCCACTTGTCCTCGTCTCCAACATGGGCTTGCTTTAGTCACACCACTTGACCACTTGCCAACCTTCTAGAAGGACTGCAGCTGGACTTCTACTCTACAGGTCTATGGATCAAATCCTGGCTACCTAAGGACCTACGACAGACCTACTTACCRYTGGYGRTTCTACAGGTCGCAGGTTCAATTCTTCAAGTGGTCACAGATATTGTACACAGGTAAGTTGGGGAACTAGGGATCGAACCCTGGGTCCTACATCAGCTACTTCGAACTGGTGAATACCGTTTCATATTTTCGTATTTTTATTATTTTACTCATCGGCTTCATGTGCAGTTCGAACTCAGCACCTGGTCTGCATTTCAACAGTTCGTTCAGATGGGTGTTTTGTTTGTACCAACTGTGAGCTAAGTCAGTTGGTAGGACGGACAGTCCTGGACATGCCACTCATCTGGAACATCTTCAACAACTTTCAAAAAAAAAAAAAAAAAAAAAGCACCGGTCCTATACATGCCATTCATCTGGAATATCTTCAACAATTTGTCAAAAAAAAAAAAAAAAACTTCAACAACTTCGCTTACCAGCAAGTGCTCTCCTTCCCTTATGGTTAAGGACAAGTTCAGAATCAGTCGATTCGTGTACTGAGGGGTGAAAAGTGTAAGGTCTTCGATTTCGAGCAGCACAGCCGCATCCTGTGAAGACGGTGCAGCAGCAGACTCTCGGAAGATTCTTCCAGGCCTCAACGACAAATCTTCTGAAGAATTTGAACCCGTGCCGTATTGCGACGATTCTTGTCGCGAATTCACACCCTCATCATCATCATCAGCAGCAGCAGCAGCAGCATATCTCATCACAGATGCCATCTCCGAAGGCGGGGATGCGGCGACAGAAGCGGCCAACACTTGGTGGCGGCCTTGGTACGGCGAATCGATCAGGTTGATGGTGGATCGCTGAACGACGTCAACCTGGCCGTCCACCGCACCCGGAACTTCTTCTTCTCCTTCTCCTTCTCCTTCTCCTTCACGTTTCGCTCGCTGCTTATCACTCTCTTCCAATAAATCGGTAAACTCCCCTGCAAATCACCACGCCCACGACCACGACTTCAGCAAGATGGACAACCTACATGCCATCAGACACGATGGGGAACCGACCACAACCAGCGAGATATGATAGGGTGAGGATTTCGGCAAATAAACTTCATTAAACTTCATTAAACTTCATTAAACTTCATTAAACTTTAATGAAGTGATTAAACTTCATTAAACTTGATTAAACTTTAAAGTGATTTCATCCACATGCCATCAGATAAATCCCACATGTGGTTCACAGTGGACCCCCACCTTCGATCCTTTTTTTTCACTTTTAAAGTTTAAACCTGTATCAAAAATCGTTGTTCTTTTCTCTTTTTTCTTTTTCTTTTTCTTTTTCTTTTTCTTCTCTTCTCCTCTCCTCTCCTCTCCTCTCTCTCTTCTTGTCTTTCTTTTCTTTTTTTTTTTCTTTTTTTTTCTTTTTTTTTCTTTTTTTTTTTGCAGTCCTTCGGCCAAAAGATGGACGGACTCTGTGTGGAGTCAGGACCATAACGACCTCTCATGTCAAAAAAGAAAAAGAAAAAGAAAAAGAAAAAGGTGGTGGCGGGAAAGGAGGAGAAGTGCACTTTCGGCCAGATCAGTAGATAAGTGGGTAAAGCCCTGTGTGTGATGGATTTTTTTTTTTTTTTTTTTTTTTT